ATTCCTCTTCAATTTGGAAGAATAGAAAATTGAAGTTTTAAGTAAAAGGAAATAATGCTCATTGATTCCTCTATTTACTTATTATTCTTATTTAAATAAAGAAAATAAGGATAAAAATTATATTTTTTTCTTTTTTATGTCTCTGTTTCTTTAATATAAATAAAGTTTAATAGTAGAAAAATATATTCGCTAGTTTTCTGTCATATTATCAGTAGAGATGATATGAGATGTCAAAAAAGATTCGTAAAATTCAATAATGAAAATGTACCAAATAAAAATTTAAAGATTCTACAAAGGGAACATCCATTTAGTCTTGGTCTCAGGCATCAAGCATATTGTTCCAAAGGAAGATACCTTGAATTTCACTAGTTGGTAGTTTTAACAAATCCAACTTCTCATAGAGGCATAAAGGAAAAAATAAAGAGAAATGTAATGTCACGACCTAGAGTTGGATGCATTACAATACCATAAATTTATAGAAAACTCATATAAATATCCAAGATTCGAAATAAAATTTAAACTTAATCAAAATACAATCATGAAAATTTAATAATCTAAATTAAAACTTTATCTAAATGCATAAAAAATTTAAACTCTTTAAGTAAAATAATTTTTCAATCCGAATACAAAATTGGACCAATATATTTTAAATCTTTAAATTAGAATTCTTAACCACTTACATGTTCCAAGTTCCCATGTGTAAGTTGCTCTTTAACAATCGTAAGGAAACAAGATAGAAAAAGCTCACAATTTATTGAATAATAAAAAACCAAACTAGTTGAATCAAATAGATTTGGTAGTTTTTACAAAATAGTTATAATATAGATAAAGAAACATAATAGTAAAATAGTTTCAGAACATTTAGCAATTAGTATTTAAGATAGACTTATTCAGTATTTATAAAATGTTAAATTAAAATCTCATTGTCCTTGACAACTATGGTGCATATTATATCCCTATTATAAGATATATTTAAACCCTACAGTATATGCGATGTTTTATATTCTTGTATTAAGACATGAAATTATATTTAATCCCACGATGTTGGTAACTAATAACATTTCAGAAAAATTTCAACCTTTATCCCCATTGGTCAAAACATTGCATGACTAAGAGTTCTAAAACAACCTCACAAATCTTTTCATATTTTTATCTAAAGTAGTTAATTTCGTCAAGCATCTCAAACCTTTAACTTCATCAGAAAATTATTAAGCTTGAACTTGAGTTTATAGTCAAAATAATAAACTAATAGACAATCAATATTTTCATAAATTTATACAATAAAAAATCAATAAATCAAATCAGAATGATGTTTGTCATCAAAGTCGGAAGTATAATTAGGAATGTAATTGAATTCAAAATAATTTGCATATTTATTCAAAATATCAAATAAATATTCAAACATGTTAACAATGCAAATGAACATCGATGAGAAGCATAATCATGATCTTTGCAACATAAGGACATCTAATGAGTCACTTATCAAACTCTGATTTAATATTTATTAAATTTCTTAGGATTTAATACAAATTTATTACTCTCAAAATTCACAACTCTTTTAATATATTAAAAATAGTTTTTTTTATTGATGTGTATTTCATTGGATATTACAATCATATATTTATATATGTTTTCTATAATGAAAAAAGAAATAGACAATTAATTACAATTAATTAGAAAGGTTTCATTTGACCTTTTAAGTTGATTTGTTTCATCTCTAACACCCTAATTTATATCTCTAATATCTTTATTTACCTTTTCTTTAATACTCTGATTTACTTCATCTTTAATATTTTGATCTGCTTCATTTTTAACACTCTAATTTACTTCATCTTTAAAAACATCACTTTTTTCCTCTTTAACACTCTTTCTCAACCTCAGGAACAAATGTTATCTATTTTTAGCTTGTCAATAAGAGTTTTGGAATGTTATGTCGTTTATGCCTTTAGTTAACGCATCTACAAATTGAAATTTAGTAGACATGTATATGTATATATTAAACTATTGTTAAGTTTTTTTATATAGAATATCTGTAAATTTTAATGTGTTTAGCCTACTCATGTTCCACTGAAGGATGAGTGATACTTAAATCTCAAAGTTATCATAATCTTTACAAACTTATCAAATTATGCTCTCGCTAATTGCTTAAATTTATAGAAAGCTTTCTTTAATTTGCATACCTTATTTGGCAGTAGTCCTCTGTCAAAGCATGGTGAAATAACCATATAAATTTCTTATTTTAAATTTTCATGCAAGAAGATATTTTTTTATATTAAACTATTGTAATTGTCAGCTAAAGTGGATAGCTAATAACAATAGGATTTATGTTTATTTATCCTGTCTATTAGTATGAATATCTCTTAATAATCTATTCCATATGTCTGTATATAGTTTTTAATTTATACTCTTTGACAATGTAAGAAGGATTTTTAAAAGCTATTGGAAAGCGTAATGGTTGAGTGAACATGAGGAAAAAGTAATCCCCACACTCTGATAAACAAAAAAATAGTGTTAAACGAAACATAAGAGAAAGATGAGTTTAACATCTTATAACCGAGCGTGTTGTATTTAAAGGAATACAAGAGAAATATAAATTTAACACCTTAGTAAATAAACAAATAGTGTTATAGGGAAACATGAATAAATTATGAGCTGGGCACTACAGGCTTCTTGCATTTGTAATACTTTAGATAAAATAGTAGAATCTTCAGTGGTTGGCCGGAGAAAAGGGACGTTGTCACGAGTGGTAAGGAGAATCTCATAGAAAAGTTTCCCCCTTCTTCCCTTCTCTTTTTACTTATACTAC